GGTATGCAGGGTGGGCCAGTCGGGAGGTCTGTTCTCAAAATCTAACGACCCCAACCTGTCGGGTCGGGAAAAACGGTGTCGTTGCTCCGCGGGACTCTCCTGAGGTGCGTACCAAGATTTCGAGGCAAATCCCGTCGTGGCGACGATGACCGGATGGCGGTGTCGGTGTTTAGAATAAAACCAGATACATACACCAACTTTAGGAGCTCGGCGGGCGAGCAGGTTGATCCAGGGGAGGCGCCCGCCACGGGGTGGGCCAGGACCAAGCCACCATTACCCGTTCGGATCTCTGGGGGTTGATGCTGATGAAGGTCCGGTAAGCAGGAGCTTTGGCAAACCAGGACATTGGCACGTCCAAGAGAACTGCAACCGCGAGACGCGGGTCGAAACATTCTTCTCTGTTCCCCCTTTCCGCCTGATCTAGCAAAGTCCTGGTTTTTGCAGTGCCCTGGCTTACGGGGCCCTGAGCTGCTGCAGCTTGTTGCTTTTCGGATACAGACTCCTCCTCGGGCCATCTGGGCAGCCGCACGTGGGCCCTGCCCCTGCAGGTGAGCCTTCTGAAGCGCCGGCTGGGGCTCAGAAGGCAGCCATGTGAGCCCCGGCGGGGGTGGAAGGAGGAGGGAGGAGAGAGGAAAGACTAGGGAGGAGGAGGAGCAGGAGGAGGAGGAGGAGGAGGACCCCGGCGAGCGCGCGGGTCGGTCGAGCGGCCCAGGGGGGCCCTCGACAGCGAGCTGCGCACTGCCGGGGGAAGAGGCAGAGGCAGGGTGGCCGAGTGAGGAGGGGAGGAGGAGGAGGAAGATGAAGAGGAGGAGGGGGAGGAGGACGAGGACGAGGACGAGGACGACGACGAGGACGCCGACGCCGACGCCGACGCAGACGCCGACGCTGACGCGGACGCCGACGCGGACGCCGACGCCGCCGACCGCCGACGCCGACAGCCGCGCGCGCGGCCGAGCGGGCGCGGGGGCAGACGCCGTCAGCGTGTCTTCCGTCGGTACTGCGCGTGCTGCGCAGTCGCCCTGCACGCCGCCGGCCTGCAGTCTCCTGATCTCCCCCGCCCCCGCGCCCGCTCCGCCCCCCGCCGCGCCTGTGTTGGTGCCTCGATTCGCCTCGGAAGCGGCGCCCCTCCGTAGCTCGAATAGCTCGAACGCTGCTTGAGTCAAGCGGTCTTCGTGATCAGGCGTGCTGCGGCCCAGGCTCGCACGGGTGGGTGAAGGAGGGGCGTCGATTGGACCCGCAGGGGCAGGGCGGCCGAGTCCGGGGGAGGGAGCGGGCGCGGGGGCAGACTCGGACCGCGAAGGGCTTCGCAGGCGTGCTGCGGAGGGGCGTCGATTGGAACCGCAGGGGCAGGGTTCGCCACTGGCCGCAGGACCGCCATCCTTCTGCTGCATCCCCGGGGGGGGCCTTATCTGCCCTGTCGCGGCCCTGTCCGCGTCGAATCCGTGCCGAATCCAAGTCGGGCTCGGCGGATCCGTGTCGAATCCGTGTCGAGTCCGCGCCAAATCCGCATCGAGCACGCGTCGGGCACAAGAAAAGACACCAAGTTTGGGGGGGGGGCAGGCGAGGTCACCCGAAGATGCAGCGTGACCGCTGGCCGCAGGGCTGCCGTCCTCCCAGGCGCCGCCGCGCGTTCCTTTTCTGCCAGCGGGCAGGCAAACAGCCTGGGCGCCAGGCTCGCCCGGCTGCTGGCCGGGGCGCTCGAGGCAAGTGCGGCTGGGGGAGGGCCGTGGCCCGCGCCCGACATTCGGCGGCCGGCGAGCGGCAACTTCGGAGGCATCCCCAAATGGCCCGCCCCAAATCGGTGAACGTTTTCTGATTCGGCGTTTCGACATTGAGCGGAAAGGGGGGGTGGAGGGGGGGAGGGCCTGGCTCCGGACCTCTGCTTAACGCGACTGCTTGCGGCAGTGCGTCCTGTGGGGGAGGCTCCACCTGCCTGAAACACGCGCAAAAAACACGATCTTCTCCATGGGGGAGGGAAGGGGGGGTGCGAGGGCCCGCGCCGATCGGCAAAACACTGAATAAGGAAACGATCACCAGATCGACGTTCATCAACGTGTTTTTGCGCCAACGAGAGCTTGTGCACCGAAGCCCTTCGATACGGAGCAGCCGATGCAGTGATGGCCGACGCTGGCTGTGTGCTATCGGTGGATCTGAACGGGATAAAGACACATCGGGCTAGCACACATCCTTAGGATCTTCGACCAGAGATCTTGCATCCAAAATTGTTGGAGCCTCGCTCGTTTGAAGCGGGTCCTGAAGGAAACGGGTCCTGGGACACAGGGCCATCCCTCAGGATAACTTTTCTTCGCCCCGAGTCGTTCTCGTATAACTCCTGGGGCCCACTGAGGAGGGCCCGGGAAGCAAAAACGGCGAAAAACCCTCAGGACCCGTGTCCCTCGGGCCGCGCTTGCTTCCCACATCCCCGACGTCATGACTTGTTCATAGCGTCGACCCCGAAGGTCTCGACTGAAACGGCCCAGGGACACACAAATCAATTCACACTAATCTCAGGATTCCCCATATTTTCTAGGTTTTCGTCTTCCCCCCACTTCTCATAATTTGTCCCTTATTCTCCTGGGGATCGACGACGGATTGTGTCTGTGTGTTTTTCCCCTCCTGATCGGCCCATTCCCCGGGACGAGCTGTGCATCCTGGGTCGTTCCCTGGGCCTCCAGAGGCTGAAAATAATGAAATAGCTGCCGTCGTGATCCCCCTCCTCCTCCTCCTCCTCCTCCTCCTCCTCCTCCTGCTCCGCCTCCTCCTCCTCCTTCTCCTCCGGGTCTGGGTTCCTGGCGACACACTCTTGGAGGCTGGGGAACGCGCACTAACACCAACACAGGAGGGGTTGCCTCCACCAAGGGAAGATGATCCCATATCTTGTTGCTGGTGGCGATCTTTCGGCTACCTGGAAGTCCGAATAGTACCACCATCGCCGAGATCGGGATCAGCTTGCCTCGGTGGGGGAACAACAACGCTAGTCGGAGGAAGAAAAAAACGCCGTAAACATAAGCTTTTGGGCTCTCCGCGCGGGTTTCTTGGATCTGCACTGGACCCCCCTCCTGGGCGCGCAGCGCGACAGGGGCGGCGCTGGAGGCGCCGCCGAAAGAGAGCCCAGCCCGAGTCAAAGAAATCCGCGCGGAGCGCTACAAGTTTTTGTTTATGGCGTCTGTTCTTCTTCGATCTGGGCCTCCGAATTTACGTCCGCCGCCTTCCGCCGGCAATCCACCAGTTTCCACTCGGGGGCCGGTCGTCGCTCCTTGGCTTCGGCCATGGCTTCCGCCACCTACCGCTGAAGGCGTTTGCGCGCCGGAGGTGTGGCCCTTTCTGGGGAGCACGCCGGATGGATGGCTGCGTGACCATCGAGGCCCAACCCAAGAACACGAATGACCTCGTCGGACATTCGTTGACAACGCTTTGCCACTATCTGGTTACTCGTCGGCCGGACGAGGTGGGTAAACACATGAAGTAGGCGGGCATTGGAAGAAACATTGGGCTCCCGCCCGCCCCCGGAAGAGGAAGGAAGAAGGACAACCACTCGATCCTTGAAGTGGGAAGCCAGGAAGAGCGGCCTCCACGGCGGCGGCCGTGGACAGATCTGGGACGAGCATGATGTCATGATAGGACTGGCTCAAGACACGTCCAAAGATTTCCTCGTTTCTGCAGCCCGTGTAGAACATTAGGCAATCCTGGATATCCAGGATATCCTGGTAGTCTTAGGTCGGGCATGTCCTCCTACAGGCAGTTTCTGGAATAAAACTAAAAATGCCAAAAATATACCAAAATATTGAACAAAGCGCAAACATCGTCACCGGATTATTCTGCGCAGCATTTCTTCATACAAATCCTGTAGTGTGACATGCCCGACCCAATCTTAGCCCCTGCGGAACATTTCAGGAGATTCCTGTGGAAATCCTGGCAAGCGGTGGAACGTGTCATTTTCATGCCCTCTGCCCCCTGAGATTCCTTCCTTCTGCCCCCCTTTCCGTTCCCCTTCCCCTCCCCCTTCCTGCCTCTTCTCCTCCCGTGACCTGCCCCTGTCTGTAGTCAGCCGCCTTTCTCTATTTTCACGTCTGATTGCCATACGTGCAATCTTGCCCACGCGTTAGCAGGACGCAAGGCTTCAGTCAGTCAGTCAGCCCCCTGAGCTGTGCACAGGCCCCCGGCCTCGGGAGAGCGACCCCACACGGGCACGACTGGCCCCCGAGTGCGCGGGCTGCCGGGTCGCCGCGCGCGGTGAACGGCGAAGGCCCGCGCCCACGAGCGCCCCGGCATCCCCCCGCCGCCCCCCGCCGAAGAGCCGCGCACCGAAGGCCACACCAAGGCACCCAGCGCCTCGATTTGTCCCCCCTCCTCCCCCGCGTCGCCCTCTTCCTCCCTCTCCTCATGCAACAAAGCCTGAACGCAGCCTGCTTTTCTTCGAGTTTGAATGTCCCCTTCAACGCCACGCACCCACGACCGCTCTTGCTGAGGAACGCTCCTGCGCGTAATCGAATAAGAACAGTCACTTGTTTCGGGACACGGGCCCCGACATCCCGAGAAATGCTCTGACGCCCCCGGGGCCTGGTAAGGGCCTCCCGAGGCCGAGAATAGCAAAAGACTTGCCGCCGTAATTTTTGTTTCATGACCCGAGGGGGTCTGGGTCTGGCGGAAGGCCACTCGTTCGCACAGCCGACGTTTGAGCAGGGACCGGCCGTCCTGGCCTTTCTATAGGCCTGCCACACGACATGTCCCTAGAACCACATAGTGTCCGAAGAACAAGCAAAATCTTAGAACATACATCCGGCGTGCTCAAGCAAGATGGTCTCAGCCAGGAGCGGTCGAAAAACATGTCGTACAACCACGAGCAGTCCTTCGAGCATCCTCTGGCTTGGCCTGTGGGCGAGCCGGGACGCCTCGCCCCTGCTTGATACGTCGCCACCCGCTCCCGGGGAGGGGGAGGCGCTGCGGCGGCGGCGGCGACGGCGCCCGGGCGGGGCGGGGCGAGCCGCCGATGCCGCGGGTCAGGCCTGCGGCAGAGGGGCGCCCCCACCCCTTCGGCTCTCCGCTCGCTGGCCCCCAGGGCCGCCTCCGGGCGGCAGCACGACCGAGAGCCAGCCCACCTCGAGCCATGAAGAGCTCACGGCGGAAGGTCCTTCGCCATGTTCCGCCTCTGGGGGCCCTCACCGGGCCGCAGGACCGTCGAAGAACGACTCGGGTCGACATGGTAAAACAAACCATGACGCCGGGGGTCTGGGGAGCCAGCCGAGCGGGCACCGAGGCCGAAGCCGACCGACGCCGGCATGCCGCAAGCAGCCAGGGCGCGGTGGCGCAACGACGACGGGACTGCCGACCGGCTCTGGCCGCGATGCGGCCGCAGCCCATCGACCTCCCCCCACTCCCCGTCCCTCCCCTTCCCGCCCTCCCCTCCCCGCGCCCCGAGGACGGAGGGAGTCGCGGGGGCGGCCAAGAGGGGGCGTCCAAGCAGGGCGCAAATCATGGCCGGCGGCATGTGCGCGGCCCAGGGGGGCCCATGGGGACGTATTGACATGAGAAAAGGCGCCATGAAATCTGGGGAGATATCATGGCCCCCCCTCGGCAATGGAACCCCTCCCCCTAGTCATCACCCCCCTCTTGGCCGCCCCTGGAGCCTGCGGGAGGGCCTTCCCCACCCCGGGCGCTCCGCCCGGAACTCTCCTATAGGGCGAGGCATCTCCGCCCCCGCTCGCCCTGTTCCGGGCCCCAGGGCCCTCACAGACCGACGCGGCTCGCAAAAGGACGCAAGGAAAGTGGGTCCAGGGCTCCGATTTTTCGCGGGGGTGCGCAGCTTGTCCGCGTCGCCGGATCTCAAGGTTCGTGAAGCGGGGGCCATGGCGAATCGGCTCATGCATACCGCATACCCAGCCATCCCGCTGCTCAATGTTTGTTCGATGCGTGGGTCCCGGAGGTTTGGACCGCTTTCCCAGGGCCGGTTTTTCGTCCCGCGTCGTTTTGACGGTCCCGAGGCCTGGCGAGGGCCCCCGGAGACCAAAGACGGCCACCAAGAACCCGCCATTCGAATTCTTTAGAGCGTCGGATCTCTGGGTAGCTGACTGCCCCAGCGCCTCCCGGCGCCAAGAGGCGCCAATGCGTGTCGAGGAAGCGCTCCCGGCGGTGGGGCCGATAACGGCTGCACGCGGCAGATTTCGCGCCCCCCTTCGGGGGCAACTCATGACAACCTCCCATGCCATCTTGCTGGCTCTTGGAAGTCGACGCGAGTCGATGCGATTACCAGACGCTAGCGCGCACGCGAGTGCGCTCTTGCGAATCGAAACTGGTCGACGCTAACTGACGCCTGTCGACGCTAAATCTGCGCATGCTCACCGATTACTAGAAGCTTGCGCACGCGAATGCGCTCTCAAGACGGAATTGCGAGGACGTAAACAGCCGTCCCCTGCTGTCCGACCCGAGAGGGCCAGGCAGGACCCAAGACCGAGAGCCGACGATTGAGGACCACGCCCAGCTGGTGAGCATTCTTCGCTCGCGTCGATAGCGGCCGTCATGGGGGCGGGGGAGGGGGGAGGGCGGGGGGGCATGGCGTTACTAGAAAAGGCAAAATCGCCATAAACATAAACTTTTGGCGCTCCGCGCGGATTTCTTGGATTTGCGCCGGAGCGCGCCAGGGACGGCGCCGGAGGCGCTGCTGGGGGTGCCCATGCACGGATCCAAGAAATCCGCGCGGAGCGCCCAAAGTTTATGTTTATAACGTTTTTTTCTCCGAATGACGCAACGCCTCCACCCCGCCGCGTGGGTCCGGCACCGCGACTGTGGTGTCGGACGAACTGCGGCAGTGGGAGGAGCGCACCGGGGAGGGGGGGCGAGGGAGCACGAGCACGATCACGAAGCCAAACGCCGTCCGGGTGTGCAGGAGAAGTCGGTATGCAAGCTGTCACAAGCATTGTGCGCCTGCTCGACGTGGCAATGGGAGGAGGATGAGGAGGAGGAGGAGGAGGAGGAGGAGGAGGAGGAGGAGGAGGAGGGAGGAGGAGGAGGGGGCACAACGCGAGTTACAAGGCTAACGACAAAAACTCTCTGGGAGAGGGGGCGCCCTTCGACCCTCGCTCGCCGCCCCCCCCCACCCCCCTCCGCTTGCTCTGGCCCTCGCTCGGGGCGGCGCGCGCGGCGGGGCCTCGGACGCGGGGCCTGGGGCGGTCTTCTCGGGGGACGCGGGGGGCATTTCGGAAGGCGAGGGGGGGAGGCTCGGCCAGGCGAAACTCGGCCAGGCCGAGCTCGGCCAGCTCAGCTCGGCCAGGCTGAGCTCTGGCCCAGGCCGAATGCAGCTTGGCCGAGTTCAGCCTGGCCGAGACCGACCGGCCGAGTTGAGCCTGGCCGAGTTCCGCTGGCCGAGTGCAGCCTGGCCGAGTTCTTCCCGGTCGAGTTCAGGGGCTGCCCAGAAGTCGGACGGGGCCAGGACGAGGGAAACGTCCTTCCAGAGCGTTGCGGAACGCTCTCAGCGTGTTCTGGAGGCGCCCGAGACATCCTCCAGAGCCGCCGGATCTCAGAGATTCTCGATGTATCCTCACCCGATGTTATCCTCGTCCTGGCTTCGTCTCAAGCCCCCCCTCCCCGCCTCCCCTCCGACAAGAGCTCCCCCCTTGCCGCCCCGCATTCTTTCTCCCCCCCTGTGCAGGACCGCCCGGCCTTCCACCCACCCCCCCCGATGGGCCTCCGTGGCCCTCCTCACCCTGCGCCCAGGGAGGAAGCGGGCACCCAGGGAGGGGGAAGGGGGAAGGGGGTGAGGAGAGGATCGAGGCTTAAGACGAAGTCAAGACGAGGATAGCATAGGGTGTGGATAAATCGAGAATCTCTGAGATCAGGCGGATCTGGAAGATGTCTCAGGCGCCGCGGCCTTCTCAGTGCGTTCCGGAATGCTCTGGAACGGATTTGTCCTCGTCCTAGCCCCGTCCGAAGGATCGAGGCTTTCTGAGCGCAGCTTCTAGGAGGTCCTCAAGCCCGACGAAAGGGCCACTGGGCTTGATTCGGGCAAATGAGGCTGTGGACCAAGACAGACTCGGCGGGACTCAGCCGGATTTAGCGGGACAAAGCCAGATGCAACTGCACTGAACAAAATTAGGCAAGTGTTCAACCAGGGATACCCGTCGGTCGGGAGAAGCAGTTAGGTCAAAACATGAAGTAGGAAGACGGATAACGTAGATTGGGCCCTAGCCCTCCCAGGCAATGATAACACACGGCAAAAACATATCGGTCCTTGAAGTAGGAAGACGCTTGAAGTGGATTGGGATCTGGAGGTCCAGAAATGCCTGCTTTCAACGACCGACGGATCTACCAGCGCCGATTCTGCATCGCACCTCCCAGGAGTTGGATCCTGCGCACCTGGCCCCCGCATGGTCTGCAGGAGGCCGCTGTGGGCTCTCCAGGGACCCCTCTGGCGAGGAGGGGGAGGGGGGAGGAAGGGGAGGGAGCACGAGAAGGAGGAGGAGGAGGAGGAGGAGGAGGAAGAGGAAGAGGAGAGGGGAAGGAAGAGGAGAGAAAAGGGAGAGGAGGAGAAGGAGGTGAAGGAGGAGGAGGAGGAGAAGGAGGAGGGGGAGGAGGCAAACAACTTCTTGGCCGCAGCGCCGGCAAACGACACGGTCGAAGCGGAAGACGGGGCTCTGGGATCGCGAGCTGGGCGGAGGGGGCCGGAGCGAAGAGGGGGGCGGCCGCGGCGGGAGGCGGCGGGAGGTGGGCGGAGGTGCGCGCTCAGGTCGCGTGCAGGCCTGCGAGAGCAGTGCGTGGCGGCCTCAGGCTCCAGAGGGAGTCAATGCGAAGTCTGGGCCATCCGAGACCAACCAGATCAGACGGCTGCACGGCGCGGCCCTGCCAGGGATGCAAGGGCGTGTGGTCGACCAAGCGAGGGGCAAGAGAGACCAGGAGGCGGAGCAGGAGATTGCTGGGTGCAGAATGCACGGTGCCGATGTGATGGTCGTACGCGACTTGGGTCAGATCTTATGTATATCTGGTGTGGGAGTGATTTTACAACAGGGTCGGCTCGATTCGTGCCTCTTGATATCTACAGATGTCCCTATTAGCGCCTGTTGACGCCTATCAGCGCCTATGTCGATTAGCGCCTGCTAGCGCGCAGTAGCGCAGAACTAAGCAGCAACAAACGTGAATAGCCAGGAAAAACGAAACCTTATGCTCAGAATGACTCTCACGCACATAACACCTACATTACTCCTGCTCGACGAGCGTCAGGCACGGAGGCGAACTCTGCTGACGCTGGACCTGCTCCTATCACGGGCGAGCGCGCCAAACTGCCTGCCACCAGAGGGGGAAAGAAACAGGAGAAGGAGGAGGGGAGAAGGAGGGGAGATGAGAACAAGGTAGGGGGAGCTCTCCCCCTCTTGTCGTTTCCCCACCCCCTCTGAAGCTCATCGGTGCGAAGACAGTGCAACCCTCCACTCCCTCCAGATCACCCCTATGTGATATCCGACGCCAGCACTCCCACGCAGCGCGTGTTTCTCGACACCGCATGCCCCCACCCAGACTGATCGAGCATGTGTGCCCAGATCTTCAACGTCTTGAAAAGACCGAGACAGCAAGTGTCTCGCCATGATCGGCATCTTGGGGCCGTATATAAAGGGCTCCAGGGGAGGGGTCGAGTGCTACATGGGGCCAGGCATCAAATAGATGACGACGTCGGAGGGTCGCGTGCGTTCCCCAAATTAGGCGTTGCCCGAAAAATCCCAAGAGCTTGTTGAGTCTGACTTCCCGATGCTGAGTCGCTTGGGGAGCTGGCCCACGAGCTCTTCGGGTAACCCTCTCTCCAATTCTCGAGGGTTTCCCCCCTGAAAAGCAAAGCCGTAAAATGCAACCGCCAATGCAATGCAACCATAACGCTAAAAACATATTCGGAAGCAGATGCACAACGGATGCGAATGCAAATGTACGGAGTGGCGGCGCAGGGCGCAACTCAGCCTTCAGGAGCTTTCTGGCACGGTTTAGCAATGTCAGGACACAACGGTCACGCTGATTCGTGGCGCTGAAGTCACGGGAGTTGAAGTTTTGGCATGACTGAAGATTCTCAGAGGATTGTCTTTCGCTCTGGCACTTCCCTGGGGAAGCCAAAAGGTACCGATACCGCTACTCCCCAGACCTCTCCTGGGGTGCGTTCTGCCTAGAATTTCGAGGCGAATCCAGCTGTGGCGACGAGGGCCTCCCAGGAGGCCCAAAAATCGGAAGACGGGCGAGGGGGTAGAGGTATGGGTACCTTTTCCTTCTCTGATTCCCGCAGTGGAAACAAGCTCTTGTAGTGCCCTGTGCAAAGGGAAGTTGCGGGGAAGGTTCACGGTCTGACGCTTTTGCTCAGCGTGCCGCGGCGGAGGGGCCCGACGGCACGCTACGCATTGCAAGTGGACAGCACGTCGCTCAGCTCCGCGGGGCGGGAGGTCGGGAAAACCTCGGGACATTGACGCCTCGAGTCTGGGAAGCGGATAGCGTGTCGCGTAGGAGCGCGGTAGGCCAGAACCGTCGGGGCGACACGCTATCCCCAAGATGCCGACCCTATGGCAGCATGGCTAATGCGTCTTAGGCTTACACCGGTCCTCCTCCTCCTCCTCCTCTTCTCCCCTCCTCCTCCTCCTCCTCTCCTCCTCCCTCCTCCTCCTCTCCTCTCCTCCTCCTCCCTCTCCTCCCCTCCTCCTCCTCGTCCTCCTCCTCCTCCTCCTCCTCCTCCTCCTCCTGCTCCTCCTCCTCCTCCTCCTCCTCCTCGCTCTTCTCCTCGTGCTCTTGCTCGTCCTCCCCGTCCTCGAGCCGTCTCGTCCCCCCCCCCCCCGAACAGTGCGCGGCCTGCGGCGCGCCCAGGGGCGCCACGCTGCCGGCGGAGACGAGGGCGGCGTGGCTGCCGCTCCAGCACATCGGGCCCCCCTCGGGGAGGTGCGGAGCCCTGGCGCAGCGCGGCGGCGGGGGGGGGAAGAGAGAGAGAGGGGGAGGAAGAGAGAGGGGGAGAGGGGGAGGGATAGAGAAAGAGAGAGAGAGGGAGCAAGAGAAGGAGAGGGAAAGAGAGCGCGAGAGAGAGAGGGAAAGAGAACGAGAGAGAGAGAGAGAGCGATCAGGCTAGGTGCGCTGGCGCCACATCTGACATCCCATCCCTCCCTCCCGTCCTTTCCCCTTGCGCTGACTTGTTCTCCATCAGCGGGTGCGTGTCGTCGCCAGCCTGGGTCTCCAAAGAAGCCCCCCCTCGTGTCATGCGCGAGAGAGAAGGAAGGAGAGAGAGAGAGAGAGAGAGTAGAGGCCTCCCACATGGAGTCCGAGTAGATGGGGTCAGAGGATCGCGCCACACCCCTGTTGCATCGGCGATGCATCGGCGACGTCGGCGTGGAGAAAATCGGGGGCGCCGCATCGAGCCGCATCGGCGATGCATCGGCGATGCGGCGAGATCCACCGACCCCATCTGCTCAGATCTCGTCTGGGAGGCCTAGAAAGAGATAGAGAGAGAGAGAGACAGAGTAACAAGAGAGAGAGAGAGGGGAGGAACGAGAGAGAGAGAGAGAGAGAGAGCGAGATAACATCAAAAAGCAACGATTTCCGCGTGCTCCGATCAAAGCAACAGAGCATCACAAAATGAGCGAGGGAGCCACCCGGGTGAACCTGTGCCTCCTTGCCTGGCGAGCCAAACCGGCCACGAGATCGGCAGGACACGGAGCTGCCGGGAGCCACCGCGCCGCGGACAGAGATGTGCAGACAGATATACATATATACATATATATATATAAGCATCTGTACATGTATACATGTATACATGTGTACATGTGTGTATATATATATATATATGACTTCGAGAGGCCCGAGATGGGGAAACCAGAAGGTACCAATGCCGCGACTCCCCGGACCTCTCCCGGGGTGCGTCCTGACCTGAGTCTCGAGGCGGATCAGGAGGTGGCGACGGAGGGCCGAGAGAGAGAAGAGAGAGGGGCGGATCCCTGCACCACAGGGTGCGGGGCCCGCGGAAGGGGACGGGCGCCTGGGGAACCACTCAGAGGCCGAACAGGGGCGGCAGAGGTCAATCACCCAACACGATTGGCAGTGCGACGGAGGCACCATGGCGGAACGGCCACGGAGGACAAGCCGCAGGGACCGAACCCCGCGCCTGGGGCACGGGACAAGGACACGAGTAGAAGAATAATAAACCATATAAACATAAACTTTTGGCGCTCCGCGCGGAAATCTTGGTTTCGCGCTGGACCCCCCTCCCTGGCGCGCGGAGCGCGCCAGGGGCGGCGCCGGAGGTGCCGCCGGGGGGCCCAGGCGCGGATCCGAGAAACCCGCGCGGAGCGCCAAAAGCTTATGCTCATGTAGTTGTTGTTCTTCTTCGAACGTGGGCGGCGGGCGGCACGGTGGGCGAACAGGGCCCCGAGAGGAGAGTGGCGGAAGGCTTAAGTCGGGCCCGTCCCTTTACAGGAGGGGGACTATGTTTTGAGCATTTTGGGGGCATCCATTGCGCATTTTTTTGACTATTTTCTATTCTTCGCCCAAAACCCCCCTGTAGGGGGACAGGCCCGACCCAACGGAAAGCGCGGCCCGCCGCCGCTGGGTGGGCGCGCGGGCCGCCGCGGCCCCGCGGGGTGGGCGCCGGCAGGCCGAGGCCTCGCGCGGCGAGGCAGGGCGGCCCGCGCCGGGAGGCGGAGGAGGAGGAGAGGAGGAGGGGAGGAGGAGGAGGAGGATGGAGGAGGAGGAGGAGGAGGAGGAGCGGAGGAGGAGGAGAGGAGGAAGGAGGAGGAGGAGGAGGAGGAGGAGGAGGCAGGAGAAGGAGGGGAGGAGGAGGAGGAGGAGAGAGGAGGAGGCGGGAGGAGGAGGAGGAGGAGGGATGAGGAGGAGGAGGAGGAGAGGCAGGAGGAGGAGGAGGAGGGAGGAGGAGGAGGAGGAGGAGGAGGAGGAGGAGGACATCAGAATTTGGACATCAGGAATGTCGTGGGCCAACCAACCCTCGTGGGATGGTTGAGGGGACCGCCCCGCGAAGCTCCTCCGTGCCCGACAGGCCTATGGGGCCGCATCGCTAGGGCGTCGGGCAGCGTTGAAGCGCCCTGCCCGGGCAGGCCGGGGCAGGCGCGACAGCGCCCCCTGAAGAGGGGGGAAAGGAACGGGGGGGGGAGGGTGAGAAGGCGGAGCGGGCAGGGGCAGGGGCGGGAGAGACGGGGGCGCGGTCCAGCAGCGGCCCCGGCTCGGCTGGCGATTCTGGGCCGCCGCGCCGTCGACCCAGAATCCGCCCCCGCGCGCCCCGGCCCCCCGGGGCCGATTCTGGGTCGCGGCGCTGGCGACCCAGAATCACGGGAGGGGCGTTTCTACGCCCGGCGGGGACGGCTCGGCGGGGGCGCGCTGCTGACGTTGAAGCGCCCTGCCCGGGCAGGCCGGGGCAGGCGCGACAGCGTTCCCTGAGGAGGCGGGGGGCGCAGAGTGGGGGGGGAGGGGGCGAAGCAGGCACGGCGGGGGGAGGGAAGGAGGGCGGGGCGGCGCACCGCCCGCGGTCGGGCCTCGTCCAAGCACCCTGGTGCTGATTCTGGGTCGCCGCGCCGTCGACCCAGAATCCGCCCCCGCGCGCCCAGCCGCCCGGTGGCCGATTCTGGGTCGCGGCGCCGCCGGCCCAGAATCCAGCGCCCGCGGGTCTACGCGCCGCGGGCGACGACGGCGGCGACTGCGACTGGGCTGGCGGCGACAAGGGGGGGGCGGCGGCGGCGGGCGGGCCGGCCGGCCGGGCCGGGCGCCGCCCCGCCGACCCAACGCGCGGCCCCACAGCTTCCAGGCTCCCTGGGGCTGATTTTGGGCCGCCGCGCCGTCGACCCAGAATTGACCCGCGCGCCCAACCGCCCGGGGGCCGATTCTGGGTCGCGGCGCCGCCGGCCCAGAATCCAGCGCCCGCGGGCCCACGCGCCGCGGGCGACGACGGCGGCGACGGCGACTGGACAAGCGGCGACGCGGGGGGCGGCGGCGGGCGGGGCTGGCCGGCCGAGCCGGGCGCCGCCCCGCCGGCCCACCGCGCGTTTCCCCGGCAACCAGGCGCCCTGGGGCTGATTCTGGGCCCCCGCGCCGACGACCCAGAATCCGCCCCCGTGCGCCCAGAGCCGCCCGGGGCCCGATTCTGGGTCGCGGCGCCGCCGGCCCAGAATCCAGCGCCCGCGGGCCCGCGCGCCGCGGGCGACGATGGCGGCGACTGCGATTAGGCTGGCGGCGACAAGGGGGGGGCGGCGGCGGCGGGCGGGGCCGGCCGGCCTGGCCGGGCGCCGCCCCGCTGACCCAACGCGCGGCCCCACAGCTTCCAGGCTCCCTGGGGCTGATTCTGGGCCGCTGCGCCGTCGGCCCAGAAACGCCCCCGCGCGCCCAACCGCCGGGGGGCCGATTCTGGGTCGCGGCGCCGCCGGCCCAGAATCCAGCGCCCGCGGGGCCACGCGCCGCGGGAGACGACGGCGGCGACGGCGACCGAGGGCGGAGGCGATGGCGTAGGGGGGGGCGGCTTTTCTACGCCCTGCGCGCGTGCACGTGGGCGCCCGCTACCCCCCCCACGAACTCCACCTTCAGCGCGAGCTCGGCGAGGTGCGCGGTGTCGGAGAGGGCCCACTCGGGGACGCCGCAAGCCAGGGCGGCGTCGCCCACGCGCGCCCGCAGCACGCGTCGGAATGCGTCGACGACCGGGCAATCCGCGAGCAGGTGGTGGAGGCCAGCTGCCTCGCCGCCGCAGAGGGCGCACGCCTCGCCCTGGACAGGCTGGAGTTCCACGCCCCAGACGACCCCCGGGATGGCCCCCGACACGCGCGCCACCATCCACGCCCTGTGGTACTTCCACATGGCCTGGAACCACGGCGCGAAGCGGACCTCCGGAGCCCACGGCTGGTGGAGCGGGAGGAGCGCGACCAGCGGCAGCAGCCCTGTGTCCGCCAGCCGGCCGACTTGCTCCGCGAACCAGCGCGCCTCCGCCGCCTCCATGAGTGGGTCCACCACCCGCGCCGTCCATGAGCGCACCAGCGCCCGCCGTCGCGCAGGGGAGGCCCCCGGCTCCGGGGCCGGCCACTCGGCGATCCCCACGCCCCGCGCTACCTCCTCCGCGTCGCTCAGCCAAGTGCGCACCCCCGGGGACGCCACCGCCGCCTGGAGCACCTCCGAGATGGGCGACGGGTGGGGGAGGAGGAGCATCCGGGCCCTGACCCGCTTGGTCAATTTGGTGCCAAGCCGGGTGCGGAGTCTCGCCTCCAGAAAGGCGCGGACGTGCCCGCCCGGGCCCAGCGACCACGGCCGCGTGGCCCCCGCCAGCAACATCTTGGCCACCTCGTAGTAGGCGCGGTTGACCCTGGTGAGGACCGCGGGCCAGCCAACCTCGCAGGATGCGAGGAGCTCGGCCCCGAACAGGGCCGCCGATTCGACCCTGGCCGGGACTTGCGTGAGCTGCAGCGGGACGCCGAATCCGCTGTCCGCCATGGCCGCAATCAACCGGCGGGCACCCGCCAAAAGCTTGGCGCACGTCCGGTCCAAGAGGGGGCGAAGGCTGAGCGCGTTGTCGATGGGCGTGCCGAGAACATCCAGCGAGGCCACGGCCCGGAACGCCTCCCCCGCGATGGCGCCGCACGCGGGGCCAGGCGTCCGTCAGCCCCGGCCGCCGCCATCACCGCGGGCCCCTTGCTCGCCCCGCCCTGAAACCGGTGGCGCCAGCGCGTGCACCAGGCGGAGAGCGCCTCCGCCACCGCCGCCACCTCGGGGTCCGTCTCTCTAGCGATGAAGGAGTCGTCGACGAATTGGAGCATGGAGAAGGACAGCGCGCCGGCCTCGGACGCGGGCGGCCCGAGCGCCACACCGGGGCCAGCCCCCACGCCCGCGTCGATGAGCCCCCGTACCAGGACCCCGAAAAGGTGGACACCAGCCCTGCGCCCCTGGCCGACGCCGAAATCAGCCACCTGGAACGCCGCTGCCGCCAGGGCGCCCAGGCGGACACGCACCCGCTCGGGCCCCAGCGAAGAGTCCGCCGCGACCCACCACCGCCCCGAACCCCCGCGAGCCAAAGGCCGAGGCGCACGGCGTCCCGCCAGGCGAGGTCGAACCCGTGCAGCAGGTCTGCCTTGGCCAGGACCGTCCTGAGGCCGGCCGCACGCCGGAGCTGCAGCAGCATTAGCAGCCCCCCCGTCATCAGCACGGCGTCGAAACGCCCGCCCGCTTGGGGGGCGCCGGCGAAGGCCTCCAGGTGGCCGCGGGTCACCTCCAGCCACGCGGCGTCGAAGAAGCCCTCGAGGTCATCTACGTAGGAGACGGGTCGGAGATTCCCCAGGGCCCTGACGACCGGGGGGCCGCGCTTGCGGATCGGGGCCACCTCGCGCGCCCACAGCGAGGCGGTGAGGCCCGTGGCCATGGCCAGGTTCAGGATCGCCCACGTGACCAGACCCGCCGGCCCAGTGACTGCTCGGGCCACCCCGCGCGGGAAGCGCATCGAAGCCTTTCGGAGACGTGCGTGCCGCACCACCCTGTCCACCAGCGCCGGCTCGAAGGCATCCCCGCTCTCCTCGGCGGTCTCCCCGAGCGAGGCGCGCCGCGCCTCTCTCACAGCACGGGCCACGTCGTCGTTGAGGGCTGGGACCCCTGGTCCAGCGGCCCGCCCTCGTTCCAGCACGTTGCGCGAGACGGCCGCCAAGGTCTCCGCGGGGCCGAGCCGGGCGCCCGAATCCTCGTCGACTACGGCGAGGGCCAATGGCGCGCGCGGGCGGAGCAGCGCACTGAGGAAAGCCTCGGCCTCGCCGGGCGCCGCCGCCGCCAGACGCAAATATCGGCGCATCTGCCTGGCCCGCGCGTCCGCGAGCGCTCCGAGGGTCGCGGCAGCGGCGCC